GGATGAGGGACTAGGGTGATACTGGCCCCAGGACACATGAACAGTTGCCTGAACTTACAGTAATCTGGACGCCGAAGGTCAGTCTCCCCTTGAGGTAAAATTCTGCCTCATGGAGTTGTTCCCATGGAAACTGGATGGCCAGCGGATGGAGAGCCATGAACTGGTTCAGGAGCTTAATCATTCTAATCAGCCATAACACAAGATCCAAAAACATGGAGGAGGGAAGAACTATGGTTAAATTGCCAACAACAATAGGACCAGACACGTCGGGGACTCTCTGGATCGCTACCGTGTGCGTGTCTTCCCTTGGCGTGACCCCCTCCCTAGGAGGCATCGCATTTGGAAATACTATTGCTTGCTGGTCTGATACTGTTTGTAGGTCATTTGTAGAAGCTGTTGCACACGCCAGGAGAATAAGACCTCCAAGAAACTTCCGCTAGCCCTGACGTTCCAAACACCCTCCCATCACGTCCGCCTCTGGGTGGACCTCTGGGCCTGCCCTGACTGCCATTCCCCTGTTCCCGCTCCCCTTCGGGAAGCGGTGAAGGTGGGGGGTCATCCGGGTTCCTAATGGTAGTCGGGAGTCATGTGTTCAGAGGGGGGGTAGGGAAAGACAGGCGTACATAGGCAGAGAGGGAAAGGTTAGGACCTGAGGCCACTGGGTGGGAAAAAGCACAAGTATTTTGGAACGGTGCTGGGAGCTGCTGACCACAGCGAACGCCCTGGGGCGTGAGGTTCCTAAGAATGCGACAGAGCCCACCTACTCCCCTTCTGGTTTCCCTCAGGAACTTGACAAAAGAGTTAAGTGTGGCCATAGACCGCCCCCCACACGATGGAGTCGGGCCCATCGGGAGCGGACAGTCCAGCACCCGGAGCTACCAAGCCAACAAGGGTAGGACCTGACAAGGGACAAGGGGGAAGGAGGGGGAGGGCGACCAGAACCTTATAAGACAAGGACTCTTGCCTAGAGGCCCCGGGGATTCACTTGCAGACGTCCCCCTGTACAGAGAGCTTTCCTGCTGTGCTTCCTTTCTGATCTGATACGCTTCTCAGCTGCTCGTTTTATTGTGTCCCCCTCTTCATTCTTCAAAGCAGTGAGACAGCAAACCCGGGTTTTGAGGTAAAAAAGATCCTCCAACACTAGGATGAAGTTCTTGGGTGAGCTTGCAAAGTCGTTTCCCCAGATATTTTGGTAACCTGGAACCTTAAAGCTTTGCTAAGTTAGATGAGAAGATAAATTCCTTGAGCATCTGGGTCATGACTGAAACTAACTGCTGAGCTCAGGTATCTCCTTTCACTTCCCCCCCGCTAAAAGGAAGCCAATGGATCTTTGGGCCTATTAGTAAACATGTTTTCCACATTAAGCAAAACTGCACGACGAGGAAGCCTGTGTCTCTAGAAATTGGAAAATCTGAGTACGTTTTATGATCTAGAGAATGCTCCTGTGACGGTTCACAATTGCTTGTTGGCTTTCACTAGAAATTAAGGGTTTCTAGGGCTTAAAAATTCTAATATGATGGAAGCCACTAGAAATAATAAGGAAACCTCTCCGTATGCACAGAAAGTGTGATTTTGTAAAAAGGAGGGTCGGAGGAATGGTGATGTGCTTTTGTCGAGGACAAAGAAACTTGTAGGTTTGTGGAAAGGGAGGCTTTGGAGAGAAATTTTAACGTGTGGCCAAGCTGGCTAAGATTACAATTAAATTTTAATATCAAAAGTAAGTGGCACAAAATTGGTTTTTGCTCTGAAAAACGAAGTTTTCTTGAACTTCAGGTTTGCTGTTGACAACAGTTGATAAAAGTTTCTTTACTTTTCAAGTAACCCACCAGAAAGCCAAGATCTGGTGCCTTACCAGGTCTTTGTTTTCTGGCACTTTGACTAAATCAGCCACTAAGTACTGTCTCACAATGGTCTGTGACCCTCTGTAGTCAAGTGTCCAAACGTGTTGATATTTTCAACAAACTTACCCAAATCGAAGTCTAAATAAGGCCTTTACTGACCTCGAACTAAGTTTTGAGAATTTCCAGAGGGTCCCTGAACATCTCCAAAGGTTTGTTCTCACACAAAGAATGATGTTCTGCTAATTAGGCTTATTTGATCGTGTTAAATTCTATGGAAAGCATGTGAAATACATGATGACAACCCACTGTGTCGGTAAATATTAACGTTCTGCAAGTTCTGAGATCCCCACACACCTAGAATATCCTGGATAGCATCACCAGTCATAACCACAGTTCTCTCCGAATGTTACGTTCAGAAATAATCAAGTCACTCTGTCGGTTCCGCGTCACGGACTCCCGTCGGATCTCTGACATCGGGAGTCTTGCCGTTGCCCTTTGGTGCCCTGCCAGTGTCCTGCGAAGGCACCTCCCTCCAAGGAGTCACGGAAAGGACTGACAGGTAGGACCTGACATCGTGAAAGTGAGCGGGATGAGAAATTCTAGAACTAATAACGAGGAATGGATTCAAGCAGAACAAGTATTAGATGGAACCGAATGGATTCAGAACTATCGTTTTACGACTTCTGCTTTGAAACACTGCCTGTTCTTTACCTTTTTCCAAACTTAAGAAAGCCTTCTCTTTTCTCATGGGATCAACAATTTAAGACATTGCTTTGTGAACAAAGGTGAACATTTTTCTCCCTCTTTGGCCCCTCCAGAATTTGCAAACTTCGTATTCTTGTGCAAGTGTACTGCCACTCAAATGAGTGATTTAAGAATCCGTTCTTGTAACAGGACATGATTGGGAATGTTGGTTGTATTACCAGGCTCTGACCACAAGGTCTTATTTGAGGGAGATGTAAAGACTCCGAGATGATCGGCTTTCAGGAACTAAGGCTGACCTTAACGGAGCCTATGAAGGCCTTGCTTACAGGGTTCCTGGCGGCCTGACCCGGTGAGGAGGGAAGGTCACTTCTTGGCAGGCCCAAGAATCTCAGGAAATGTTTGGAACCTTGAGAAGAGAGGAATTCACCCAAATCTGTATGTATTGCAGGCAAAGTCTGATGATGGCTCCTTAGCGCGGCTTCTCAGCCTGGAGAGTCTTTCAAAGTTCACGGGAGATTCCTTATGGAAAGTCTGAGCAAAGCAGACTTAAAAGTCTGTATGGTGAGCACTCTTCTTCTGCAGTTATGTAAATAACAAGGCCAAGGTACTGAAACTGTGAAAACAGAGTTAGTCTTGCTGTGAATATGGGGGTGACTGTAGAGAGAAATTGTTTCAGTAATATACCTTCGTGGACAGCAGATTCTAGTGCCGTCAATGGCCCGTGAGGTTTTGTTTTTACCTGTAAAGTGGACTAGATCCCGAGTTCTTCTATTTTCTTCCTATATTTGGCTGCAACTCTCCAAACTGGCATTTCCAGTTCACCCCCTCCCCGCCACCAGTCCTTCTGACTTGGAATCGTTGAGAACCACAACTGCCCTTTCCCTGAAGCCGTGCAGGTTACAGCCGGACACCGTCACATAAAGTTCAGAGAAACCACAACAGCTCACGTGTGGATAACTGCCGTGCCTGCTGCTGTGCGGGCCACTCGGAGAGCTCGCCAGACGGCCTCCCTGCAGGCCAGGCCCGTCTGTCTCGTTTCCACTGTCTGCTCCACCCCACCTGAAGATGCCGCAAGCCGGGCATCTGGACGTCTGTGCGCCTGGCTGCCTCCGGAACTCACCGAGACCGGATCTGCTCCCCAAATTAACCTTCATTTTTGTCTCCCCAGAAATGCCTCTTATTAAATATCTGATGACTTGCCCCCAGACCTAACTCGGGAGCCTCCTGAAACGGAGCCGGCTGCTTAACTGAACGACCCCGTCGTCAGGACTGGGAGGCTGGCTCAGTGACCCGGAGCGGTCCATCAGCCCAGAAGTTTGAGAGGTGGGACCGAGGCCAGGAGAGGATATGCGACCCCCAGATACGCTGCTCTGGCACGTGGATTAAATTGAGCTAAAGACCATCAGGATGTAGCAGATTTAAGAAAAAACTTGCCTCTCGCTTCTTGGAAGGGTTTGGACAGGAGGCCTAGCCCCCGGCGGGAGCTGTTACCGGCTATGAACTTTTATCTGAATGACCCATCCGCACAGCAGGGCAAACATGTCATGACCACAGATCCATTGTCGTTACGGTCCTGTGAAGCCCCAGGCCACCACCCCTTCCTCCGCTCAGGACGGCAGAAGCCTCCGCTGCCGGGCTCGTCCCGGGGTCTCATATTCTTATGGGGCCCCTGTATGTACGTGATCAAACTTGTCTCCTGTTAACCTGTCTCGTGTCAGTGTATTAGACCAACCGAAGAACCTAGAAGGGTAGAGGAGAAAACTCCCTTCCTCGATAGTGTGTAAATACTGCACACGTGTCCCGACCCTCGGGATGAAAGACCACGCAAGGACACACGTCCTGGCCCGCCTGCTTGTACACACAAGTGCTCTCCCCTGCTTGTGTTACGCATCAGAAGCCCCCGTGTCCCGCTCCCTGTGATGTACAAAACACTGGAGAGAGACAGTGGTTTCTTTCACCCACCGCCAGGCCTGTCCAAGGTGTGTGGCATTGGCTGAAAACGAATCAGATGAGGACAAGTGACGTGTTTACTTCTGGGCCGCAAAGGAGGGAACGAGAGAGAAGGCCGTGTGTTTGGTATTTCTCTGCCTTTATGCTCACCTGGACTGGAGGAGTTACAGAGAATGGGTGGTTGGTCAGCGTTCCTCTGCGGACAGTCAGAATGAAGAGCGGAAGCAGGTCAGCTCCCGGGAATAAAAGGGACGTGGTGCCTCACACGGACCCCGCCTCCCGGACACCACGTTCGTGAACCGTGGCAGAGTCGCGGGCACTCGGCCGCCTGGAGTCTAACAAACCGCTCGCCCGAGGGTCTGGGCCCGGCCGTGGCTCCGGGTGAAGACGACCCGCCCCCGGGTCCCGGGGAAAGGGGTGTCCTCGGAGCCAGCGGTCAGGTCAGGGTATCCGCTCCGGCGGACGTGCTGCACAGGGGCCCCGTGGCCCCAGAAGGCGAGCGTCCTACGCCAGCTTGAGGCACTGTGTGTTGAAGCTGTCCCCTTCTTTGCTGGCGACGGCCTCGAGCAGAGCCTGCTTCTTCTGCGCGCTGCGGGAGGACTCCAGCTCGTACATGGTGGTCAGGTTGAAGAGCACGCTCTCGTGCAGGTAGTGCGTGGGGTCCTGCTGGACCATGGCCTCCAGCTGCCGCAGGGAGTCCTTGAGTCTGCCCAGGTAGAGCAGACACACGGCGGCGTTGTTGTTGGCCTGGACGGGAGGGACACGTGCACGGGATCGGACACGGCCACCAGCCGGTGGCCCCCGAAACCCTCTCCCAACCACCGTGACACCGGCCGACGGCTCAGGACGGGCCCACAGCCGCGAGCTCCTGTGTCCTCTAGGATCTTACCACTGCGTTTGTCGGCTCAATCCTTAGGATTTCTGTGAAGAACCTGTGGGCTTCTGCAAAGTTATTCTGACCGAGGTGAAGGAAGGCTCTGGAATGTGAACGACAGGTAAGGCAGTTAACTGGGAAGAGGGGAGAAGCGGGGGGAGGGGGGCTCCCCAGATGCACGCACAGGTATGTGAAGACACCAAAACACAGGCATTCAAGTAGCCAGGGGACCGAGAACAACGAGCAGTTACGCAAATTGATGTTGAAAACGGGGGCAATATGAACAGTACTTTGAAAAACGGGGGAGAAATCTTAAAACCTGTCACTTGACTGACTGCTGTTTCAGTGCTGGGAAGGGGACAGGAATAAGGAATGTTCTCTAGAGGGGCTTCAGGAAGCGGAGCCTTGAACTCCTGGGACATTTGAGAAAACGTAGTTTTGAGAGCTTTACCTGTTCATTAAAACCATTATTTTGCCTTGTGGTCCGTCCAACTTCTGCGTCACTTTCTCCACATCTTGAAAATACTTCTCAGCTGTTTTTATGTCTCCAATCTGCTTTGACAGAATTACTGAGTCAGGTCAGGTGACAAAACCAGTAAACGTACAGCCACACAGACCGCTGCCCGATGGGTTAGGCAGGAAAGCTCTGATCGCCATCACTGATCGTTACTTTTTGTAAAAGCGAATCCCATTTAGGACACGATGGAACATCACGTTTATATCAGAAATGAAGTTAATGTATGAGTCTTATTAAAAAGTCTTAAATGTGAATCCTAGCATAGCATTAAGTAAAAATAACAAATGACGGTTTTCAGGGAGGCGGCAGAGGAGGACCGACGCTCGTCTCCCGCTGCGGATCCTAGAAAACACGCACGTTACTGCTGACAACCCAGAGGGCGATCCGAAGCCCGAAGAATAAACACCAGGGGTGAAGGCAGAGAGGAGGCCACACGGGAGAGGGGAGAGGGCAGGAGCTAAGCCCCCACGGGCACAGAGACGGGTGAGAAGAAGGTGATCACAGCAGGGAGCCCAGCCGGGAAGACAAATCCCCAGAGTGTCTGGCTCTGAAAATCAGAGGGGCTGAATTTTGTGAGTTCTTACAAGCAGCAGGACTTGAAGCCTGGAACTGTGAAAACCAGCGGGCTTGGGCTCTGGGAGAGGAGGGTGATGGGGTGACGGAGAGCTGGGTCCCTGCCCGTAAAGGGACAGCACAGCAAACGGCCCGGAGATCCAGATTAGAAGCAGCGTCCCGAAAGAAGCCTGGGGTGTGAGGGAGGGAGAGTGAGTTCCCGAGGGACTTCTCCAGGAGCAGAGGAGGGGGCAGGCGCCGTCTCCCTCCCTCGCCCGCACCAGGACACCTGCACTCACTACCTACCCTTACACCTTGCCCTGCCCCAGTCCTGGTGCCGCGGGTCCCCTCGCCCCGGAGACCGGCTTGCCAACAGTGTGGCCCGACTTCCCCGGGAGGAAGCGCCCACCGTGTTAAAACCGCAATCCCCCTCCCCCCGCGCGACAGGACGGGCGTGCACACCGCCTGTGGGTGCTTTGCAGGGTGGCCCCAGCCGGCCGGGTCTCCACAGCAGCTGCGCTTCCTCTGTGGAAGAGATCAGTGCCTTTCATTAAAAGCGTGCAACCTGCCTGTCACTTTCAAGAGCGAGAGACGTAGCAGACTTTCCCAACACGCACATGCACACCCACAGTGAGGCAAAACGAGGGGAAGGGTATGTCCCAAATGAAAGGGCAGAATTGCGGCAAGAGACCCAAGTGAAAGCTGGAGGCCGGCGGTGCCTTCCAGAGAATTCAGTGATCACGAAGATACTCGCTGGACGTGAGGCAAGAGTGGAGGACATCAGGGAGACCCTCGGCACAGAGAGAAAAACCAATCGGAGATGAAGAACACGGTACATGAAATACAAAATACACTAGATGGAATAAACGGGTTAGAGGAAGCCGAGGGGCGAGTTAGCGACGAGGTGATGGAAAGTATCAGGCTGAGCAAGTAAGAGAAAGTGCAAAATGTGGGGGGGAACTTAGGGAACTCAGGGACTCCATTGAGAATCCTAACATTCGCACTGCAGGGATCCCAGAAGAAGAGGAGAGAGAAAAGGCAGAAGATTTACCTGAAGAAGTAGCTGAAAACTTCCCTAATTTGGGGAAGGAAACAAAAATCCCTCCAAGAGGCGCACGGAGCTCCCAACAAAATCAACCCAAGGAGGTCCACGCGAAAAGTAGCAACAAAGGAAACATGTTACAAGCCACGAAAGAAAAGATGACAGTGACACACGAGGGAAACCCCGTAAGGCTACTCGTGGACTTTTCAGCAGAAATCCCAGCCAGAAGGGAGCGGCACGATACAAAGTGCCGAAGGGGAAAATGTGCAGCCGGGAATTCTCCGTCCCGCCAGGCCGTCGTTCAGAACGGCGCTTGCTTTGGGAGCACATGTACTAAAAGGACACCACAGAGAAGATTAGCACGGCCCCTGCATGTAACAGAAGGAGAGATGAAGACCTTGCCAGGCAAACAAAAACTGAAGGGCTCATGGCCACTGAAGCAGCCCTGCGGGAAACATTAAAGGGGACCCTTTGAGTGGAAAAAAGACCGTAAGTGAGAGTATGAAAAGTAAGAAACACAGAAGCAGTAAAAATATATCTGTAAAACTCAGTCAAGGGAGTCCCAAAATAAAAGGACGTAAAGTGTGACACCATATGCCTCAAATCTGGGGCGGTGGGGAAATGAGCAGAAAGGGCTCAAACTTAAGCGACCATCAACTTAACGTAGACTGCTGTATGCAAAAGATGTTATATACGAAGCCAATGGGAACCACAAATCAAGAACCAGTAATAGATACGCACAGAATAAATAAAAAGAACCCAAGTGTATCATTGAAGAAACCCAACAGATCATGAAAGAAAGCAAGAGAAGAAAGGATCACAGAAAAACTTCGTAGCCACCAAACAAGTATTGAAGTGGCAATAAATACATATCTATCAATAATTACTTGAATGCAAGTGGACTAAACGCTCCACCAAAAAGGCACAGGGTGACAGAGTGAATAAAAAAACAAGACCTATCCATATGCTACGTACAAGAGACTCATCTCAGACCTAAGGACACCTGAAGACTGAAAGCGAGTAGACGGAGAAACACTTGATACAGATGGGTGTTAAGAGAAAGCCAGGGCAGAAATGCTTCTACAAAACAACACAGGCTTTAACACAGACTGTAACAAGAGACATAGAAGGACACTATGTGATAATAAAGGAGACGGGGCTGCTTGGGTGGCTCAGTCGGTTGAGTGTCTGACTCCTGATCTTGGCTCAGGTCGTGATACACGGTTCATGGGACTGAGCCCCATGTTGGGCTCCGTGAGGACAGCCTGCTTGGGAGTCTGTCTCTCTCTGCCCCTCCCCCACCCATGCTCCCTTCTTTCTCTCAAATAAATGAACATTAAAAACAATAAAGAGGACAATCCAACAACATATAACGATAGTAAATATTTGTGCACCCCAAATGGGAGCAACCAAATACACAAAACAGTTAATAACAAAAAGAAACTGATAATAATAGGGGACTTTTATTACCTCACTTACGTCAATGGACAGATTATCCAAACAGAATCAATAAGGAAACGGTGGCTTTGAATGACACACTGGACCAGATGGGTCTAACAGATATATTCAGAACATTCTATCCTACAACAGTAGAATACACATTCTTTTCAAGCACACACAGAACATCCTCCTGAACAGATCACATATTAGGCGACAAAGCAAGTCTCAACAAATTCAAAGAGTTCGAAGTCACACTGTGCGTCCTTTCTGACCACGACGCTACGAAACAAGAGATCAACCACAAGAAAAAATCTGGAAAGACCACAAACACATGGAGATTAAATAACATGTTACTGAACAATGAGTGGGTCAAACGAGAAATCAAAGAAATAAAAAATTACATAGAAACAAATGAAAATGAAATCACAAAGCTCCAAAACCTCTGGGATACAGCAAAAGCTGTTCTAAGAGGGAAGTTTAGCGCAACAGAGGACTATCTCAAATAAACCACCTAGCCTTACACCTAAAAGAGGTATATAAAAAGAATAAACAAAACCCCAAACCAGAAGGAAGGAAATAGTAAAGATTAGAGCAAAAATAAACGATACAGAAACTTAACCCAACAGGACAGATCAATGAAACCAGGAGCTGGTTCTTTGAAGAGATCAACAACATTGATAAACCTCTAGCCAGACTCATTAAAAAAAAAAAAAAATTCAAAATCACAAATATCAGAGGAGAAATAACCACCAACAGCACAGGAACAGAAACAATTGTAAGACATGTTATGAAAAATTATATGCCAACAAACTGGAGAACCGAGAAGAAATGGATAAATTCCTAGAAACATATAAACTACTAAAACCAAAGCAGGTAGAAAAAGAAAATGTGAACAGACCAATTTCCAGCAAAGAAACTAAATCGGTAATCAAAAAACCCACAAAAAATAAAAGTCCAGGACCAGATGGCTTCACAGGTGAATTCTAGCAAACGTTTAAAGAAGAGTTAATACCCATTCTTCTCAAACTATTCCAAAAAAAAAAAAAAAAAAAAAAAAAAAAAAAAAAAAAAAAAAAAAAGATGGAAAACTTCCAAATTCATTCTATGAGGCCAGCGTTACCCTGATACCAAAACTAGATGAAGACACCACCAAAAAAGAGAGCTACAGGCCAGTATTTCTGCTGAACATACACTAAAATATCCTCAATAAAATACTAGGAAACCAAATCCAACAATACACTAAAGAAATCCTTCAGCGCAATCAGGTGGGATTTATCCCTGGGATGTGCGGGCGGTGGTTCAATCAACGTGAGACATCACATCAATATAAAAAGGATAAAAACCATGTGATCATTTCAGTAGATGCATACAAAGCATTTGACAAAGAACAACATCCATTCATGACAAAAACCCTTAAAACGGGTTCAGAGGGAACATTCCTCAATATAATAAAGACCGTGTGTGAAAAACCCACAGCTATAACCTCACACTCAACGGGGGAAAGTAAGAGCTTTTCCCCCCAGGTGAGGAATGAGGCAGGGATGTCCACTCTCACTACTGTTATTCAACATAGTAATGGAAGTCCTAGCCTCAGCAAACGAATGGAAATAAAAGGCATCCAAATTGGTAAGTAGGAAGTAAAACTCCCACTACCTGCAGATGACAGGATACTATATACAGAAAACCCTAAAGACGCCACCAAAAAAGTACTAGAACGGATAACTGAATTCAATAGAGTTGAAGGATACAAAAGCATATGGCATTCCTATACACTAACAATGAAGCAGCAGAAAGAGAAATTAAGAAAACAATCCTGGCCGACTCTGTTGGTAAAACATGAGACTCTTGATCTCAGGGTCGTGAGTTCAAGCCCCATACTGGCCATGGAGCCTACTTAAAAAAAATCCATTTATAATTGCACCAAAAGTAATAAAAAAAAAAACCTAGGAATAAACTTAACCAAAGGGGAGAAAGACCTATAACTCTGAAAACTAGAAAACA